AATAGAACCTTTTACCAAAAAAATGGTTCTATATAGAACCATATTGGAGTTCCATATATGAAGCGGGGGATGGAACCATTTCTGGTTCTAAATAGAACCATTTCTTCTAAGAGTGTAGGTTCAGTTCATTGAGTAAATCAGTTGCATTTAGCAAGAATAAAGGAATGCGTACATATACTGATGACATAAAATTCTGTAAGGATGTAGTTGAAACTCTACCCATTTTTCAGGTTACTTTTTTATACTTTATCAAGCAAAATAATGCGTTTATTCACATAGTCGTTTGAATGATTCAATGACTCACTCGAAGTCTGTGAATGAATCTTTTCAGTGGATGGACTCAAAACATTTGGTTCACTGAGAGTCAAAATCACTAATATTGCATTTTTATATTTAACCGTCACAGCTCATGAAACTCGGTCATGCGGCGCCACTTCTGAGTGCAGGACATTAGTTTCAAGGACACAACAATTGAAAGGCCTAAAATTCCCCAACAGAAATGAATAATTAAAGTGGAGAGATGGGATTGCTCCAGGCTTTTCTCAACCGGACGGCTCACCACTGGGCCTGTCGCTCGGTCCGTAATGGCTTTGGCATTTGCCGTTTCTAAAAGACCTCCAGATTGACGCCTCCAAAAGACGTTCACAATAACACCAGCTCTGAAAGAGAAGAATCAGCAGATGTAAGCACTCGAGATAAATGAATCTTCTGTGTTTTTGCACGATTTCCACTTAAAGGTCATTGAAGGATATTTAATGATAGTGTTTCCGTTGTGGTTGCTAAATGCTCGTGCGTTTGCAGACGCAAAAAATCAATTAAAGCTAAAGGCAAACTTTGGCTATAATCAACCATTAAATGACTACCTAATGCATTTCTTGCGTTGGCATTTATCCTCTTTAATTTGTTTTCTTGTATAGTGCATGTTCTTTCAGATTAAAAAGTGCACTTTGTATTTGCTTTCTTGAGAACTTTTTTTAATGGAGAGGGAAGAGCCAGTGTGCACGTTTGTGCAGTGCATGATGGGTATCTGTCTCGAAGGGAAAGTCCCAAGCAGAAAGGGGAAACTCCCCTAAATAGCCAACAGGCACAAGAGAATCATGATAATGCGTTCCCTCTGACTTAATCTGTGTCTTTGCGAGCCTCACGATGATCATTACTGTGTGAGAACCTTCGAAGATAGCAGCATATGTCCCCACGAATAGACAAGACGTCAATCACGTGAAATTTGCCAAACCATGGCTGACGTAACAGCTGGAAATATTAATTTCTTTAATGCACTTGTACCAACGACTCAAACCCAGTGAGCTCCCTACGTAGGCAGTGCTCCTGACGTGAAGGCTGTGCAATTGGTATTTTGTATCCCATAGTAGGCCTATATATTTTTGATATTAATGTTATAAAAGTCCACTTATGTGCACTTAAAGAGAGCACAAGTTCATGTGTTTTTCAACACACTTAAAACCTGCACTTCGTAATAAATTCAAAATAAAAGTTTTAAAGTACATCAATAATAATCATTTGTTGTGCTTTAAAGAAACATGTAAAGTACTTGATTATAATTTTAACCATATGGGTTATTCAATATTACATTTAGAGTATTGCAACTTCATCACGATAAATGTGTAAAATAGATTTTAAAATACGTGACATGCACGGTTCATTATAGCCTAAATGACGGTACAGTTAATTTTTAGTTTATCATACACTCTCAGAAAAAAAGGTACAAAAGCTGTCACTGGGGCTGTACCTTTACAAAAGGTAAACTTTTGTCCATTTCAGGTGCTAATATGTACATTTTAGGAGTTAATATGTACATTTTGAGTGTTAATATGTACATTTTAGGTGCTGATATGTCCATTTTAGGTCCTAATATGTACATTTTAGGTACTGATATGTACGTTTTAGGTGCTAATATGTACATTTTAGGTGCTAAAATGTCCATTTCATGAGCTAATATGTCCATTTTAGGTCATAATATGTACATTTTAGGTGGTAATATGTACATTTTAGGTGGTAATATGTACATTTTAGGTACTAATATGTGCATTTTAGGTACTGATATGTACGTTTTAGGTGCTAATATGTCCATTTCATGAGCTAATATGTCAGTTTTAGGTGGTAATATGTACATTTTAGGTGATAATACGTACATTTTATGTGGTAATATGTACATTTCGGGAGCTAATATGTACATTTTAGGTGTTAATATGTACATTCCAGGTGCTAATATGTACCTCTAAGGTACCAATATGCAGCCTTTGGGTTCAAAAGTGTACCTTTTGAAAAGGTACAGCAGTGACAGCTTTTGGACCTGTTTTTCTGAGAGTGAAATGCTTGTCAGTACATTCAGCAGTAACTTTAACAACATTTTTAAAGACATTTGAGATATGAAATTGTAAATATGACCTGAAGTACGCAAAAAGCACTCTTTAAGTTCAACTATTTGCAATTAATATAAAATTAAACTACACTTTTTTTTTCATTTAATTGCATTTAAAATGTTACTAAATATGTGAGTGTTAGCGTAGCGGTATGCTAACACCAAACTGTTGAAATCAGTGACTGAATCGTTCACGTCTCAGAGTGTTTTTTTAATTGCAAATTGTCAGCGAATCGCTTTTAAGGCACATTCTTGTGAGATGCATTCGAAACGTTACACAGTTTTTACTTCACATAAATAAATGAAATAATTAAAAAACAGCCCCTTATGTTGGTAACACACAGCGCAGCAGATTTGACGTTGGAAGCGAGCCAGTGCTTCAGAAACGATCACAGCTTCCCATCAATATCCCCGTGTTGAATTGAGAAGACACGATATGAGACGTGTTTTGCTGGATATCTTCAGGCTCGCTTCGACAGCACCTCAAAATTATAATGTGGTGTTTAATTACCAGCAGAAGCAAACACTCGGCCAGCTGTTTGACAAAGCTTCACTAATCATGGGGTTTAGTAGAGCTTTAGTGAAGTCTCTGGCATCTTCATGAGACATGACAACAAAACATGTGCAACATCCCACCGTCTTCATGAGATATGACCTGAAGGCATGCAAAACACATCAGACGCATTGCTTTGCTAACACCGTTCAGACAGGCACACCCTCGGCTGTGATGGGGAACTCTTTCCTTTATTCCAGCTTGTTTAGACTCTGATCAGATTACACTGTGTGTGTGTGTGTGTGTGGGAGTCGCCGGCCATTATGCAGAGACCGCAGAGAGAGGGAGCTCTGCGTGTGAACTGTTGACACTCTTACTCTGGACACTTTGTTCTTGCTTATGAGGCGTTTATAAATGCGGCCAGTCACAGTTTACTTTATTGGGGGATTATATCCAGAAAACTGCCGCTTATTTGGGCCTATAATAGTGCTTGGTCCCCACTGGCCAAATATATTAAATAGTATGAGCAACTCCATGTTCATCCAGCATTTCTGCTTATCTCAGTCTCTCCTCTATTCCAATTATACATAAAGCTATAGCCTATTATTTTTCTTTTACATAGATGACATCATGAGAGAGAGAGAAAGAGAGAGAGAGAGAGAGAGAGAGAGAGAGAAAGAGTAATTAATTAGTTCAGACACTGAATTAAATTTGTGTATATATATATATATATATATATATATATATATATATATATAAGATACATTTTTCCTGAGAAAAAAAAAATTAAATATGCATCCATGATGTATTCATTATTTCCTACATGTGTTCAGGCATTTAAATTAAATTATAAAAATTAAAATTGTTAAATTGTTAAAAATACATCCGCCAGTGATAAAATAAAATATAAAACAATCTATTTTTTCTAACATGTATTTGGGCCTTTAAATTATATTTATAAAAAATATAATAATTGAAAAGACATCTGTCTGGATTAATATTATATATATTTATTTATTTATTTATTTATTTATATGGACATAACTGCATTGGACTTATAGGCTACTTATAGGCTTATAGACTAATAACTTATAGGCTACTTGCAATTTACAACAACAAAAAAAGAAGAAATAAATAAATAATTTTATAAATAATTGAATTAAAGCATTTGTCTTGAGATCTGGCAACAATGATTTTACCGTAAGCTTTGAACTCACCAACAAAAGATGCAAAAGTTGGAAGTATCACAGAAGTGAGCATGGTCTCATGTGAGCATGTGTGTGTTGGAGAGATCTGAGAAGCGACGATGCCCTGCGGTGGTCAACATTTGTGTAATTTTAGCATTAGGATTCATTTGCATGTTTATCAGAAGGCATCACTCTCCGTCCACGGCCTCTGTGTGGCACATTCACTCTGATAACTGCCCCATAACGACAAACTGAGGCATTGTGGGTACAAGCAGCCACAGCATGATGACTTCGACCTCTCTGGGGGATTAGTCTAAAGGAATCCACAAACATTGTGATTAATCGAAACTCTTTTAGTATCGGCAGGGGTTTCGCATGATTGTTGGCGTCATCATAAGATGACATGTGTCTTTCCTTTCTATGTTAACAAAATAAACCTAGAAAGTTTCATTTAATATTAATTAGTTAATGCAAATTATACATATTACCAAGGAAGAGCATACATCAATTAGTTTTTCAGATTAAAAGCCCGATAATAAAGCTCAGGAGGTTTGAGCACCAAATGCATCTTGAAACTGCAAGTCATCAGTCCAGAGCGAGTGTGTGTGCAGTGACATCGTGTGGCGATACGAGTCATTACGACTTAGCATAAACGCCTCAGGCTACAAATAATCCATGCATTTGTAAACATTTGACACTCCATAGTGCAACAAGACAAACAGTCTCTCTCGAATATTGAGATTATGAGTAATGCATAAGACTGGAAATCACTCGCATAGCCTATGCTTGACTTAACTTCCATTACACTCAGCCCTGAAGACCTGCTGGAAGAAGAAAAAAAGCCTTTCAATATGTTTCATTATGAATATAATCAAACCACTGCGCAGCGGAAGGAGTATCAGAAACAAATCACGAGTTAATGAAAAGTCTTTCCCACAAGCCTTGAAGAAAAATACTTTATTTCTTTATAAATCCACATAGAGTACCTATGAAAGCATAAAATTCCATCCCATGTTTTTTAATTTTTTATTTTTTTTGATTATTATTATTATTTTCTCCTTGAAATCAAATGATTAAAATCAGAGATGGCTGAAGGTGTACTTCACATACAAATACGTCCACGGTCAATTGGAGGGAAACAAGAACAGTGTTCATTTCAGTGTGTTTAGCGCTGCTTTCACGTCGTCTGTCGTCACATATTGAGTTCTCAAAAGTGCCTTACCGTCAATCCTCGTTGATATGGCAGATTCAGAAAGTTTTAGTGCATTGTGATAATCAATGTTCCTCTCCTGTTTGACCTAATCTCCAGATCCCAAGAACACACTCGCCATGTTTGTTAATCAGCTGGATATCGATCCAAGTGTTCAGTTTCCCAATAAAGAGAGCCGGAGAGAGAGAGAGAGCGAGAGTCATTAGCTTAGACAATACAGAGGGAATCCATAATAAAGTGCTCCAGACGGTCCACAAATGTTAACTTGATACCGACTCATCAATATTTCATCGAACTTTGATAAGTCTGGATCCGGGGGAACATTAAATCCACACGATGCGATCCTCTGGCACTGGACCATCGCAGAGATCGGAGCTTGGCTATTTAACACTGATATTCTGTCATAACATTTCCCACATCTTCACAAAAAAAAAACAAAAAAAACAACCGCAACGTATTCCCAACGAGTTTCGTTGTCTCTTCCCATAAAATGATGTGATGATTCTTCTCTCTCGTGGCATTAACCTCTGGTTTGAAATGAAACATATGCACCAAAGAGGCACGTAATAATATCCACGGTCTGGAGAGTCTTGCATAAAGTATTGAACACGGAGAACCGGTTGTGTTTGCCTTCCGACCGCAGCTGATAGATTGGATCCGATCCCATTTAATCTGGCGTCCTGCGTTTAGCTTCCAGACTGTGAGTTTGCCTTGAAAAACAACAGAGGCACGAGATCAGCTTCAGCATAACACATGTAAACAGGTATTAATATCTCCATTCAAAGGGAAAAGACAGTAAAGACATTCCAATACATTTGTACGCCTTAACATCCATCATTGCAGGTCTAAACGGGGTCTATAAAGTTTTAAGTACATTCAGAGTCAGAAATGCATGTGACCATGTGGTTATAAATGCTTTTTGTTTTAGCCTTTATTTGCTCGTTCATGTAGCTAACAAGCATATCATGGCTCTAGCAACACTAAAGTCGTGAGCGATTCCCAGGAAACATTGATATTATGAGTGTCTCCCACTGAAATCTGATCACAAGAGGCGTTTAAACAGTGACCTGTCTCTGCTGACCACCTGTGATGTGATATCAGGTATAATCCAGGCCTGGGAGAATCACTGAGTGTGTTTATACACTCTCTGAAAGTGTAAAAGTTTGATTTAAAACTATGTAACTCTTCAGTATGACTATCTGTTTTTGTGAAGTCTGACTGACTGACTCAGGGTTTCCTTAACTGGGGTTCAGGAATTGATGGTAAACTAAAAATGTATTAACTCATACAATATAAAATTGAAATAATGTTTACCTGCATGTCGCATGACCGATAGTGAATATGCAGATGTGTTGTTAAATTAGTGAAATGTCAGGGGGTAAATACTTTAGGTCAAAGAGATTCAGCTGTGAATCTCTGAACAAATTAACTAACTAAACAACTAACTAACTAACTGACTGACTGACTGACTGACTGACTAACTAACTAAGTACTGACTGACTAACTAACTAAGTATTAAGAAATGTGTTATGTGCAATAAAGAAGGACTCCAAATAAAGTTTAAATGTATTTTTACATCTGTAAGTCTCAAGCATTATGTCAGTAAATATGTTAATGGACTTGTCATATGCAAAGTATGAACTAACTAACTAACTAACTAACTAACTAACTAACTAACTAACTAACTAACTAACTAACTAACTAACTAACTAACTAACTAACTAACTAACTAACTAACTAGGTAACTAACTAACTAACTAACTAACTAACTAACTAACTAACTAACTAACTAACTAAGAAATGTGTTATGTGCAATAAAGAAGTACTCCAAATAAAGTTTAAATGTATTTTTTAAATCTGTAAGTCTCAAGCATTATGTCAGTAAATGTGTTAATGGACTTGTAGTATGCAAAGTAAGAACTAACTAACTAACTAGCTATCTAATTAACTAACCAACCAACCAACCAGCTAACTAACTAACTAACTAACTAACTAACTAACTAACTAACTAACTAACTAACTAACTAACTAACTAACTAACTAACTAACTAACAATTGAAACACTAACTAACTAACTAACTAACAGGGTAACGAACCAGCTAACCAGCTAACTAACGAACTAACTAACAAACAATCTAACTAACTACCTAACTAACTAACTAACTAACTAACTAACTAACTAACTAACTAACAATTGAAACACTAACTAACCAGGTAACTAACCAGCTAACTAACGAAACTAACTAACTAACTAACTAACTAACTAACTAACAATTGAAACACTAACTAACTAACTAACCAACCAGGTAACGAACCAGCTAACCAGCTAACTAACGAACTAACTAACGAACGAATTAACTAACTAACTAACTAACTAACTAACTAACTAACTAACTAACTAACTAACTAACTAACTAACTAACTAACTAACTAACTAACTAACAATTGCAACACTAACTAACTAACTAACTAACTAACTAACTAACTAACTAGCTAGCTAGCTAGCTAGCTAACTAATTAGCAAGCTAATTAACTAACCAACCAACCAACCAGCCAGCTAACGAACCAGCTAACCAGCTAACGAACTAACTAACGAATGAACTAACTAACAATTGAAACACAAACTAACTAACCAGCTAACGAACCAGCTAACCAGCCAACTAACTAACTAACTAACTAATTAATTAACTAACAATTGCAACACCAACCAACCAACCAACCAACCAACCAACCAACTAACTAACTAACTAACTAACTAACTAACTAACTAACTAACTAACTCGCTCCTGTAGCTCAAACAGTAGATGCATGGCACTAACCATGTCAGATGATTGATCAAATGTACATCTTGCAAGTTGCTCTTAGATAAAAGCTGGCAGATGCATAAATGTAAATGAATAAATGATGTAAAATAAATGACTAACTTTATAATTGCAATTGTAGCTTGGCTTTGTCCAGCAAACATACACGTTAACAGTGCCATTTCAGCAAATATTATGGCACTAAACTTAATCCGTACAAGAAGAAACGGCACCCAGGGATACGCAAACAAATCTCACAACACCGGCTGAGCTTGCATAAACAGACAGAGCGAGTGACTATTCATAGCGCATGCTAATTAGACATTTAACGACTTCATTAACTCCAACCATCATCAATTTACTCAGACTTTCCTCCCAGATTTGCAGAACTAACAGAGACGCCGAGGCCTGATATGTAGCGGTTAGCTAGTTATCTGCAGCGAGCTCGCTAATGCTAGGTCTCATTCAGACGGCTATTTTTAGCGTGCCCCGCTTCAGCCTGGAGGGATTCGGGCTCGCAACGGCTGTCGGCAGGGAAGGAGAAGAGAGCTTGCGGCTCATTTTGCGGAGAACAAATAGTAATTGCCTTCTACTGTGGGTCTTCTGGTATTCTGCTACATCTCACCCCACAGATCAACCCATTTGTCTCAATATCTGAGAGAAGAGGCCTTTACCCTTTTATCTCAATCTCTAAACCCCCATCATAATACTCATATCAACCCTTTTTCTTCCATCATAGTGCATTTGCTATCTCCGTAGCTCTTTTCCAGGCCTCGTATCTCTATCCCCTCCGCGGCCTAATCTGCCCCATTTCACGCCGAGCAAAAGGAAATGTAAATCCATCAGAAGCTAATAGGAGAAGAAGCTCCTCTTGTGATTTGATTTTAGAAACAGGACCTGCATTTTAATCAATTGTGGTCCATCAAAAACGTTAGATCATGAATCGACACTCAACTGAGATACAGGCAGGTTTGAAAATAATAACACATATGAACTCGCTGGCTCGTAACGTCCAAAAACGTCCTAAACGATGAAGGAGCTTCCAACATTATCTTTAAAATGTGCACATGCATTTACTTCATAATTAATGTAAAACTTTATTAGTACAAAAATAGTTATTATATTATATTTTTTGTATTTTTATTGTAAAACATATTATTAAATATAATTATTAATACACATTAGTTTTATTTTAAAATAATAAAACTTTATTAGTCGAAAAATAGTTATATTATATTATATTTTTTGTATTATGTATTTTGTAGTAATAATAGTTTTTTGTATTATGTATTTTGTATAATAGTTATATTATATTATATAGTTATATTATTTATTATATTTTTGTATTTTTATCGTAAAACATTATCAAAAATAATTATTAATATACATTAGTATTATTTTTAAATAATTACTGTTTTAAAAGATAAAACTTTATTAGTACAAAAATAGTTATTATATTTTTTTGTATTTTTATTGTAAAACATATTATTAAAATAATTACACATTATTTTTATTTTTAAATAATTGCTGTTTTAAATGATAAAACTGTATTAGTACATAAACAGTTATTATGTTAGATTTTTTGTATTTTTATTGTAAAATATATTATTAAAAATAATTATTAATACCCATTAGTTTTATATTTAAATACTTGCTGTTTTAAAAGATAAATCACAGATATTTTTATGGTACCATGAATCAGAAAATCAGTATTAATACTAAATCTATTAAGGTCTAAACAGTAAATTCATGGATTATAATCTGGGTTGTTTCTGACATCAGCCTGTTCTCACGTAAATGCGTCTCTATAGCACGCATTGTGTTTTATCCTGCAATTTATACGCAAAAATGAGTTATTTTTACGTGCATATGATACGCAGTTTTCGCGTGCATTTGATACGCAGTTCATTTGCGTGTAATGCACGCACCCACACCACACCTAAACCTACCGACCCATGCATATCCTATTCACGTAAAAAACTCATTTTGGCATATAAATTGCACGATAAACACACTGCGTGCTATAGAGACGCATTTAGTGTGATCGGGTTGTTGTTGTTATGGCTAATATAAGTTCTGAATGGTAAACAAGTTCATTTAAAAAAAAAAAAAAAAGATCCAGATGTGATCCAGAGGTGTTGCTTTTTGGGTTCGAGCTCTGGATTAAAAGATGGACGTTTTTGCAGGTCAATAAAGGTGATATGTCATAAACTTGAGAAGTCTGTGCACCCTGATCCGCTTCATCCTCCAGACGCTCTCTCCTGCGTGTGTTGAATGACTCATCTCTTGAACCCGAGAGCTGAGGTGGTCCATCGCTGTGATGTAAGATTGAGGAGCCAGGCCAACAGAGATTGAGCCTCCAAGGGCGTCACGGCTTTGACTGAATACAAATACAACTCCAACACAAACCAATGCCTCTAGCGCTGCCGCTGTGCTGGTGTTAGCAGGGAAAGGGGATGGAAATGTAGTTTTCTACTTCACTTCCCCCGATGAAATGAGCTTGGATGTGTTGCACTTTATTTCAATAGTCCACTTCAGACTATATATATAACTTCATAAGAGTATCAGTAATATTGGTTACATTGGCCAATATTAGAGATGTGTTTAATTTATCGGTATCAGTTGAAACTGCTGTGCATTTTCCTCTATAACCATTTACAAAGTGCAAATAAATGATGCCTATTGTATTACGTCACAATATATCGCAATACTAAAATGCAACAATATTTATCGGGTATAAGTTCACTAAAAATACTAATTACTGTTTTGAGTACTACATTAAACTACTATTTATAAGGTTGGATATAATGTATAATAATGCAATATGGGGATATTTGTGGGTCCTGATAATGCCGGATGTCTGATGTTTATGGTAAAAAGTGTCCAACATTTTTTTAAATATATTTAGTCAGTGACAGAGTTCATGCCTTTTCTTGTGTGGACTTTTATGTTATTTCCTGTCTCGCTCCATGTTTTGTAGTCCTTTGTAGTTTTTCTCGTAGATTTGCTCATGATTGTTCCCAGGTGTGTCTTGTTCGCCAATCTCCCCTTGAGTGTATACATTATTTACACAAGTGTTTCTCACGTCCTTTGTTGGATGTTTCGTGCGAGTTTCATGAGTTTGGATAATTTTGCTCTTTGCCTGGATTTACTTTCTGACTGTTTTGTTAGTAATGCATGTCAAACTGCACCTGGATCCAATGGCCTGTCTTTACTGAAACAGCCACCGTTACAGTCCAAGTGTATTCATCTAAAATAATTCTGTATTTTCAGCTTCAGTGTCATTAATATTGTCCTGTGCTTTGTGTTATCAGCACCAAGTCTATTCATTTACACCGGCAATGTAATATCAAATTTAGAATTTTAATCAACTGTTTGTTGACCTTTTATCATACAGTATGTCTTGAGGTATCGCAATAATATCGTATTGTGAGTTCAGTGTCGTGATATGTATCGAATCGTGACACGAGTATTGTGTGAAGTCATAGCCTTAAAGGAGTAGTTCACATTTAAAAAAAATAAATAAATAATAAAAAAAAAAAACGTTAGCTGATAATTTACTCACCCCCATGTCATCCAAGATGTCCACGTCTTTCTTTCTTCAGTCGAAAAAAAATTAAGGTTTCTGATGAAAACATTCCAGGATTTTAGCCATATAATGGACTTCAATGGGAACCAAAAGGTTCAAGGTCCAAATGAGAGTTTCAGTGCAAACTGTTTAAAGGGCTTTAAACGACACCAGACGATGATTAAGGGTCTTTTTTAGTGAAACGATCGCTCATTTAAAAAATGAAGTTTTATAAGCACAAATGCTCGCCTTGCTCTGTTCTGTGATGAGCGTTCGTGACTCTCCTGTTATCAAAATGAACAAATCTTTTTTTGAGTCATTACTCGAAGGGTCCTAAATTATAAGACCATCGTCTGGTGTCGTTTAAAGCCCTTTGAAGCCGCACTGAAACTCTCATTTGGACCTTGAACCGTTTGGTTCCCATTGAAGTCCATTATATAGAGAAAATCCTGGAACGTTTTCATTAAAAACCTTAATTTCTTTTCGACTGAAGAAAAAAAGACATGGACATCTTGGATGACATGGGAATCGCTTGGAATCATAATGCTGTGATGAAGTGATAATTCATATGAAGTCTCTGCAAAATACCAATATTTAGACACATGAGCTGCATCTCACAAAGGGAAATAACAATATTGGGAACACACATGATGTGCAAATATGACTTTCCTGCAAACATCCCAAGCGTTTCAATTTTATGCCTTTGTAATTTAAATGCATGCTATTGAACTTAACAACTGTCAGGCTATCAATTTAAATAGCGATCTCAAGCGCACCGTACCGTTCGGGAAATCTTTTTAGGCCGGTCGCCCTGACACAGACAGACAGCAGAGCCGGTACGTCTGTAATTTATCCATTAAAGGAGGTCTAATTAACAGAACTGGTAAATCTCCGCATCAGCACTGAGGGGATGTTCTATCACGTTGGCAACCGGTTACCTAGCAACAACAATCCTTACAGATAGAGGAGAGGAGAAAAAATAATAAACACATCGTCCTCACCTTGGACAGGAGAAATCCTCAGTAAGACGTGGCAACAGAAAACAAAACTGTATGGGTTGAGGTGTGAAGAGAATGGGAATGGTGGCGGGATTGAACCCTGTGTTATTGCGATATGGAGTCGTCATCTTTTACGGATTTCCCGTATTCCGGGTTCAAGTCCACAACCGTGGTTCCTTTCAGCGCCCCGTAACCCCCGTCTAGGCCGTGTGGCCCGTCTTGTCGGTCCGACCCGAGCGGGACCGAGGGCTTGTTGGCGGATCCCGAGGAGGACGAGGATCTGGGAGGAGGGCCCGATGACGCCCCCTGCTGGCCTCCGTTGGTCTGAGAACAAACGTTACTGACGCGGGCCGCCTTCTGCTTGTAATGCTGACTGTGCAGTTTGTACTTCATCAGCAGGATGAAGATGAAGACGAGGACCGAGGCCACGATGATCCCGCCGATGACGATGATCATGGTGCCGCCGAGGAACTGGTCGTGGATGGAGCGGCAGTGGCGAAACTCGCGCTCAGTGGCGAAGGACACGCAACCGACCAATCGCGTGCCGGTGAGAGACGTGATGCCGTCGTCGTAGACCGCCAGGACACAGAGCTCGTAGTCCCGCGACGAGGCCAGATCACTCAGGGTGAACAACTTATGAGAGGCGGGGATCATCCTGAGAGACAGACAGAGAGAGAGAGAGAGAAAAGACGTCTTGAACATTAAAAGGTTAACCCTTATGCTGCATTAGGGACATTTTTGGTCTTTTGCGGTTTAATTTCTTTGACCATTTTGGCTGTTTTAATGCAAATAGTATGAAATTTGGCAAAATTGTGACTTTTTGGATACATGTAAAAAATGCGATCCCATTTTGCAAAATATGTATAACACACACTGTGTAGATCAAATAGTAACACTCAGCACCATAAAGACCAAAAATGGCCCATTGAAACCCATTAAAACGTTGTTTAAATCTGAGGCTGTCAGTAATACATGAAACATGATTTTTGCACAAACATCCTTTCATTTTGAAGCAAAAGCATTATATTTGCATTATATAGTGTATTCCACCAGATGACGTCACTACATATTTATTCCCTATGGGTGAAAATGCACCTTATTTTAGGCAAATAGGAAATGTTTAATAGGTGGCCATTTTTGGTCTCTAACGCGCTAAGTGGGATTTTTTGCAAAGTGGGACTGTGATAATCCAAATCTAAAGTTTTCTCTTTGCATTTAGTTTATTGAAAATAATTGAATTTTTGTGTTTTTTCCTCTTATACAAATCGATGGTTTCGCCAACAAAACTGGTAATTAAAGGGTTAAAATCCTGAAATTGAATACATTTTTGGTAGTTATGATGAGGACTGATGCTGGTTAAAAGATTTAACTTGGTAAAAGTGGAAAATAATAATAATATATAATATTTTAGGCAATGTTTAATATGTGGCCATTTTTGGTCCTTAATGCACTCAACGGTGTTAAAAATCTAATGCAGCACAAGGGTTAAATAAATGCATCTTCTGCTCACCAAGGCTGCAATTATTAGGGGTTCAAGCTAGTGCTGTCAAACGATTAAAATACTTATTCCTGATTGATCTAACACAGTCTCATCCCAAGAAGTCATATAACTGACGTCTTGGGACGTCTTTTGACCATACGTCAACATCCGCCTTTTTAGGGTACCCTTAAACGTCGGTTACATGGCGATCCCGGGCCGTCATACAACTGACGCTTTACCTTTAACGTCAGTCAGGTGACGGGGTAGGTTTAGGTCTGGGGTAGGGTAAGGATCCGGTAACGTCATCTACCTACGTTTAAGGGTACCCTAAAAAGGCGGATATTTACGTATGGTCAAAAGACGTCCCAAAACGTCAGTTATATAGTAGACTGCACTGATTAATCGCATTAATGTCATAGTTAACTCGCAATTAATCGCACATTTTTTTATCTATTCTAAATATCTCTTGATTTCTTCTTGTCCCATTATTTTTTCTCACTTTAATGCTCTTATCAACGTGGAAAAGTGGATCGGCTTGCTTTGTGCAAATGTTTTTTATTGAAAACAACATTGGCATATACAGTACTGTGTTCAATTTCACAATGAAGAATTCTCACTTGGAGCAAGTAATCTCTCACACAATGTAACTGTCCATCAATAAAAGGGTGAAAGAAATACTGACGAGGTCCTGATATTGACGAGGGGGCGGACAAATTTGCATCAGCTGTGTGTGTGTGTGTGTGTGTGCTTGGCCATCATCAAGCGGTATTTCAGACTAGATGTGCTGCGATGATAATAGCTCAGTTCACAACATCAAAACACACAGATCACTTTGGTCTTGTCAATGGAACCATTTGGCAACTTTTTAAAAATTAAACTTTCCATTTAGAATCTTATTGGCATCAATTTTGGCGTCTCGCGCTGGTTATCCACTCAAAACGTAACGTTAACCAACCATTTGCCGGCTCACAAGCCCAAACGAGTGTGTGCGGCATGCCTGTTGTTTTGTTTCCGGTTTAGCTAGATCCGCTTGCGCTTTGGTCGACGAAGCAACAAAACGTCCTCGTGCGGCGCAAGCCATTGAAATGAATGGGTTTCATGCCGCGTCCTGTTGCAAAAGCATGTTAAAGAAAACTACAAAGTTTGCTAGGCCAAAAAGGCCGTTACTCGCGTGATAAAAAAAATGCCGCCGTTAAAATGGGTTTGCGTTAATGCCATTAATAATGCGTTTAACTCAGCGGTTCTCAAACTGGGGGCCGTGGCCCCCTGGGGGGCCACTAGATGGCGCTAGGGGGGCCGCAAAGAAATTCTAGAATAAGAAATTATTTTAAAAAATTATTTTACCTGTATGTAAGTTTGGATTGTCCTATGTGAAATCTGCATTGCATGATTTCTTTTATATTGTAAAACTTGTATAAAATTGTATGTCTTCTATATTGGAAAAGTATTTCTTTAAGTAGAGTAGAATTTTTTTTTTGTTTCTTGCTGAAAAAACAGATTGCTGTTCAAATTTGCAAACCAAACTTGAGCCACTGTCATTTACTACCTTAAAATGTAAGAAGTTTAATGCACTTTTTTACAATCAGCAAATTAATTTTTCAGTGTTTATCTTTTACTATGAACATCACAAATGTTCAGTATTTAATACTTTTGTTGCACTTTTCAGATAATATTACTGTTAACTGTCAAAAAAAATGTTCTATTTAATCAAATGTACAATTTAACTAATTTTGTATATTCAAAGACATAAAGCTAAAAACAGAACTGTTGTTCCAGCATTGTACAAATTCATTTGTTTTTGGTACAATCTAAAATTTGTAAGTAAAATTGTACGTTTGAGGATGTTTTCGTTATGAGTTTTCTTTTGGGGGGCCACAAAAGGATTCACCCTACACAAGGGGGCCTCCTCCTGAAAAAGTTTGAGAACCACTGGTTTAACTAACAGCCCTAATTCAAGCACAAAGTGCTGAAACCCCATTGTAATTGTAAGGATTTGTAAAACTGATCGTGCAGACTAAAACGTAAGTGCTAGAGGCTTGAAACCTGGCCAGATGGTAGGCCTCAATTTGGGGAGAACCTATCAGATTATGACCCCGACTGGCCCATAGGTAGACTCAAGGTTTTTACACCACTGCACCGCAGTCTCATCCTAAAACGTCATATAACGGACGTCTTTTGACCATACGTCAACATCCGCCTTTTTAGGGTACCCTAAACGTCGGTTAGATGACGTTATCAGATCCTAACCCTACCCCAGACCTAAACCTCGTCACCTAACTGACGTTATGACGGCCCAGGATCGTCATGTAACCGACGTTTAAGGGTACCATAAAAAGACGGATGTTGACGTATGGTCAAAAGACGTCCCAAGACGTCAGTTACATGACGACTTGGGATGAGACTGTGTTAACCACTGTGATCCTTGGCACAAGACGGACAACATGTATATCTCCAATTTCAATGTCGAATTTTGTCGAAAACCTACCTGGTTTTTCGCCCGATCGGGACCAAACCAGTCTAGGGCAATTCTCTGGACTCTCTAGATCAATAATTATCGAAACAAAGTTGAACTTTTTCATTTGCGTGGCTGTGGTCATTTATAAAAGTGGCGACATGGTGTAGAAGCATGCAACGTTTCATGGAGATCAGACCATAGGTGGCGCTATAACCGTCAAAAAGCTTTGAAAACCATATATGTCTCATGGTAAATTGCATGTCTTGGCTTAAATGGTCTTTTCCATCTATGATGTCAGTGATTAAATAAAAGTTAATGTCTTTAATGCACATAAAGGCCTTAAATGCTTGAACCCCTTTAAATGCTGCTCGCAGCTTTAATTTCATTTAAAATTCAGTGAAAGTTGTGAAATAATACAACAATTTAAATTAGCTGTTTTTGTAAGATGCAATTCATTCCTGTGGTTTTTCAGCATCATTACTCTAGTCTTCAGTCACATGACACTTCAGAAATCACTCTAATATGATGCCAATGCAAACATTTATGATTATTATCCATGTTGAAAACAGTGCTGCTAGATATTTTTTGTGGAAACCGTGATTAACTAACATTCAAAACTCTTGGGTAAGATTTAAAAAGAACGAGATGAATTAGCCTAATACTTTTATTTACCAAGGGTGAATAAAAAAAATAATTGGTCAAAAGTGATGGTTAATACATTATTAACATTTATAATGTTACAAAATTTCATTTTCTTTTTAACTGTCTATTCACGGCTTTTACAAAAAAACATTGATAATAAGAAGAACAATTATTGATATTGGACACCAATAATAACTGAGAACTGAGAGTGATTTGTGAAGGATCATGTGACACTGATGCTGGAGATTCAGCTTTGATCACAGGAATAAATTACACAATATATTCACACAGAGAACAGCTGTGCATTGGAATAATATATCAGTTTTTACTGTATTTGTTAATCAAATAAATGCATTCTGGGTGAGCAGACGAGACTTAAAAAAAAACAAAAAAACAAAAAAAAAACAATTTCATTCCAAAGTCTCGGTGAAAGTGAAGTGAACAAATGTTCTGAGCGTTTTATTTTAAACTCCACAGATCTCAGATCAGGGCAGATGGCTGTCACGAACACACAGTGTTTACAATATTGCTGTGCTGTCCAAAGGGAGACACGTGTCAAACTAGATTTAGCCATAACTTGTGTGTGTGTGCCGAAAGCCATCTGCAGCGGAGAGACTGTGTCTGAGCGCCTTTTCATAAAAAAAAAAAAAAATAAATAAAAAAGACAAGAGGAGGTTTTGTATATGGTTGTAATTTTATTTTAGCTATCAGGGTCCACAATTAACAGCAAATGCATGCAGAAATAAGCTTCGGTGAGTAAATAAAACACGTTAAGCTCTATGAAATATAATCTGACTGTGACATCACATCACAACCCAGTGTTATATATATATATATATATATATAAGTGTTGTACATTCAAAGGAAAAATTCACTTTATTAAATTGACTGATTCAACATGCACTATAATTTCCCCATACTAAGAATAAACGCCACGGCATAACTCATTCAAAGATTAACATAGAGTTCAGATGCAAAAGCCTCTAAATGCCATTTGAAATTTTCTTCTTTAATGATGATTTTTATCAAGCTTGTATATTTAAGTTCAGTAATTCCACTTAAATAACAATTAATAGGT